GGGAGGGGGTGGAGTGGGTGGTAAGGGAGGGGGTGGGGGCAGGGGGGAGAAATGAACCAAGCCTTGTATGCACATATGAATAAAAAAAAAAAATAAAATGTTAAAAAAAAAAAATACTGCTAGACTTGCTCAAGGTGTAGGCCCTAAATTCAAACCCCAGTGCCATGAAAAAATTTAAAATAAATAAATAAATAATTTTTTAAAATTTCCCAAATGTGAAGAGTAGATCACTGTACCTAAGCTGAACACATGCTTTCCTTTTTAGGGTCTCAAGTTTTGGTATATGCTAGGAAGAAGGAGCCTATGTAGCCAACCCACAACAAAAATATTGGGCACTAATAAGCTTCCCTTATAGGCAACACTTTCCATATATTGTCATAGCTCATTGAGGGAGGAAATAAACATGTTCCTGCATATTTCCTGGGAGAGGATTCTTAGAAGCTTCTAACTGGTTTCCTGCAGACTTCCTCCCCTCCCCTATGCCTTTTCATTTGCTGACTTTATTTAGTAGGTTTTTTTGTATCTTTTTTTTTTTTCTTTTCTTTTTGAGATTAGGGTTTCACTATATTACCCAGGTTGGCCTGGTACTCATTATGCAGCCCAGGCTGGCCTCAAACTCACCACCCTCCTGCCTCAACCTCTCACTTGCTGGGATTGCAGGTATGTCCCAGCACACCCAGCTTGTTTGCATCATTTCACTGTAATAAACCTTAGCTAAATTACATGTCAACTTCTATGGGTTTGTCTTTTTTGTTGTTGTTAAGTTTTGGGGTTTTTTTAGGTACTAGGGTTTGAACCCTCACGCTTGTGAGGCAGACTCTATCACTTGAGCCACTCTATCAGCCCTTTTTCTTCTATGGATTCTTTCAACAAACCATTAAACCTAGGAGGGGTGACACCCATACATCTAAAAACCAACAATATAATTTTTTTAATGGGCCAAAAACCTAAAAAATCAATTCCTAGGGCTGGAGATGTGACTCAAGTGATATAGCAACTGCCTAGCAAGCAGGAAGCCCCAGTATGCCAAAAAAAAATGTCAATACCTGAAAGAAAAAATTCAATTGGCCAGAAAACAATGAAAAAGTGCTTATCAAAGAGATAACAAATTGAAATTACAATGAGATATCACTGTATCTCTACTAATAAGCAAAGTTTAAAAATCAAGCAGGGTCAAGAGTTGGAAAAAATATGAAGTGTAAAATAATGCAGCTGCTTTTGAAAACAGTTTGGCATTTCTATTACAACTGAAGATCTGGATATAGTATGGCCCACTCCTAGCTACTGATTTCACTGATTTCTACTCCAAGGTATGTAGGCTAAAAAAACTCTCACACAGGGCATCTACTGACACATACAAGGAATTCTGACAACAGCATGAATAGTCAGAAGCTAGAGATAATCCAAATATGTACTAATGATTTAGAACAGCTAGCCCTGCAATAACAGAATGAATACATAAATTTTTAGTATACTCCATGGTATACAATAGGGAACTATACAACAATGGCTACATGAATAAATCTCAGAAATACAATATTGAACAAAATAGAAGAAGAATATTTATATAATCTATTCACATAGAGTTCAGAAATAGGAAAACTTAAGTATATTGGAAGAAGAGTAGGATATTATAATGGCAAGGAATGTATATCTGCGAACATATTGATGAATTGGATGTGGAGTGTGAAAGAAAGAAAACATCAAGGATGATCAAAGTTTTGTTCTGAGCCACCAGGTAAATCATGGTTACCATTTTCTAGATGGCAAACCCTAGGAAAGAAACAGATATAAAAGGTGAGGAAGTCAAAGACTTTGGTTTAGACATATAAGTTTGACACACATATTTGACATACAGGTAAAGTTCAAAAAGATGTTTGTTTCTTACATTTTATAAACTATTCATTAAAGCCAAACTTAAGTATTCTGTCCTGTGATAAATCACAAGATTCTATGGAGTAAAATGTTTAACAACTTCGATCCTTTGTCATCCTTCCTTCCTCCCTCCCTCCCTCCCTCCCTCCCTCCTTTTCATTTATTCCGTATTTATTTATTGAGCACAACTAATTTATGTATATCATATAGTGCCTAGCAATATATATAAAACATAAAAAAATGTAGCCAACTAGTGGTAGGGGAGAGAAGGCAGCAGACAAAAACTATAGCCAAATATATTATTAAGGGGAATAAGATATTTTTATTATTACCTCCAATAGCGTAGACCATTCCTCCCAGAACTGTTACTCCCAGTCCACATCGAGCCTGATGAAGTGAAGACACAGTGGTCCAGTACTGGCTAAAGGTATCAAAACGTTCTACACAACTGAGGGCTCTGCTATCACTCCAACGACCCCCCTGCAACCGTGTATACCCACCTAAACGAAGAAAGCAAAAGACGTACACATCAAATCCTTTACTGCTAAATATGGAAATGGTAGTAATGAGGAAAATCTAGCCCTTTATGTCTAAACAGTCAGTATAACTACTATGCCAAGAAATAAATGCCTTTAGAGTCTGACATATATATAAAAATGATATGTAAACTACATTACTCTTAAATGTGTCAAGTTGTAAAAAATAATAGCTTACATGCAATGAAAAAGTTAACCACAGTGTTTTACCACCTGGTCTTGGTATAGAATGATTATCTGTCTAGTTAGGAAATTTTATTATGACCTCCATTAGTGTCTTTTTAAGTTAAAAGTAGTGGATTGAAATCCTTGGGTTTGTTTTTGTTTTTTGTTTTTCTTAGTACTGGGGTTTGAACTGAGGGCCTCATGCTTGCTAGGCAGGTGCTCTACCACTTGAGCCACTCCACTAGCTCGAAATCCTTGTTTTAACTGCACATCCCATCAGTTAAAAAAAAATAGATCAGACACCTCCAAAAAGGAGAACTATAGGCCAATTTCCTTAATGAATATCGATGCAAAAATCCTCAATAAAATAATGGCAAACCAAATCCAACAACA